ATTGAAAACCTTGCAGAGCACGCAGCGTACGGGCAAATAGCAAGAAGCACTCTTTCCGCACACCTGGCTGGAGAGCAGGGCAGCCTGCCCCCATTTCTGACCCTCTGCAGCTCACATTACATTCGCATTACATTCCCGGAGGAATTGTCCCACGTGCCTTTACCCACGGGCAGCAACGCCACGGACTCTTCCGCCTACCGCATTGCAAGAGCGTGTCCAGTGACCAAAATCCTGGCTACACAGATGGGCAAGGCCAGCGTTATGCCAAAAAGGCAACCAGTCACCCACCAAGCAGGACCCAACTTGGCGCTAGAGGCGATCTTGCCCCTCCGTGCACCCCAGGGTGCTGGCTACAGCAGCAAGGCAGAGGCCGGCGGCAGGACTGGTTTATGCCAGAGAGGGGGAGGTCTGCTGGGCAGGATGTGAGGACTACTCCCTGCTCCAAGAAAGGCTGCAAGGCCAGCGCTTCCCGAGGAAGCTTTGCTGCAAATCCCCTCTGAACGTGGGTGGCTGCAGCTCTGCTGGGGGAAGTTCACCCACTGCTACGCATCCGCTCCAGATAACGGAGCGCAGGCCCCAAATCCCACGGGACCCTGCTCGGCTGTCATCCGCATCCGTTCCCAAAGGGGAGCTGCTCAAAGAGACTAGCGAAACATTCCCGTCCCCCCACCTTACAACTTGAGACCTGAGCCACCGTCTTCCCTGCCAGCCTGCGCCGAGGGCAGGCTCCCGAGTCCTCGTCGCACTCGCGCCCCAAGGAGCAGGTCGCACCGCCCACAGAGCCGTCAGGGCCACGTTAGAAATAAATAGCTGAAGGCAGCCCCTTCTCACAATTGCTTGCTTAGGAAAGAAGACACTTCACCTCCCTCTGGCTAGGCGCCCCTGTCCCAAACCTCAGCTGATCTCAGTCCAGTGGCCCATCCGGGCGCGTCCTTCTGCTTCAGGAAAACCCACCTGTCCGGCGCAAGCAGGAGCTGGCAGAGCTTTGCTCGCCCTCCCGCCCGATACCCAGCGGGCAGCAGGGATGGCGCAGGGTTTGCCGACAGCAACAACTCTTGAAGCCACGGTTTGCAGCCCGCACCCAAGGCCCGGGAGCGTGCAGGGCTGTCCGTCCCGGCCAAAAAAGGAAGCTGAGCACGAACTGAGACTGCAGGACCGAGGGAGGACACTTGGCACGGCCAGCGTGGAAGTCGAGGCGGCGCAAGCGGGCAGCTGGACCCTGGGAGAAGGGAGCGCTGCAGGGCTGGGGGTGCAGGACCCGGGGGCTGGGCTGGGGTCCCGGCAGC